AGTGATATAATATACATGGTTTCAGGACCAATCGGTTGTTAAATTTTCCATTCCAAATGAATAGAAGTGTTGTTTAATCACAATTGCATTTATTGAGTTTAGTATGTAGAAAAAAATAAAGCCAGCCTCGACATTTACTACAACGAACCAGGCCTTATTAACCGATTTCCTAACACCTTGCAAACTCTGTCTTCGCTTTTAATGATTTTGTCGGTAAAATCATATAGAACGAAAAGAATCTTAGATTTCTATAGAATACAATTATATATTTTCTTTTGGCATCGATAGTTCAATTAGGTTGAGTAAAAATTGATTAATTGATCAAATTTATCATTAAAGTTAATAATGGACCGTCGTTAAAGCGAATTTTACTTAATACAAGGAGCTTCTCTCTTTTACTTCGATTACTTCTGACTTGAAAAGACTTTATTTTGTGAATTTTCTAATTGACTTTAATTAATTCACTTTGAACCTGAAGCAATTGATCCAATCTTTATTTTTAACTGATTTGTTGTCGTTTTTCTAGGTTATGTTTTCTTCTAATTCACCATGGTAATAGTTAATTAATTAATCACTTTGCCTTTCAGCTTGCTGACGACGAGCTGTTTCTGTAGCTAATTGGTTTGAATAATCTTTAGGTAAGATTACAATACCACAAGACCGAGGAATGCTCATTCAACATGTAAAATAGCGCACGTGTCAAATGGCGATTTTATATAATTTTCTGCTAACTTGGTGTAATATACCTACATAGTTCGACACGTTCACCATTTGTATTCAAGTTCAAATTTTTGTTCATAAACATGGCTCCACATCCCACGACGGACTGGATGCAATTGCATGACCGCTTCTATAGGCATGTTCTACCTTTATACTTACTTTGCTTCTCGTGTCGCTGAATCACATTGTTAAGACATCAATGCATTTGGCTGTCGAAATAATACATAGGAAGCAAGAAATTTACTCAATGCTATGGAAACACGTGGACTTGTCCAAATTCATGATTGCTGGTGCCCCGTATGGTGGTCCTATAGGTAAGCTAGACCGCTGGAATTTCCGTAAAAAGGGACTTTTTGTAATATATTGAAATTTTTGCTTTTCGAAGCAATGATACGTGACGATAAGAAGGTGCTATTACTCCAGAAGCAACAACCGGTAAAGCCTACGATATATTTGTATACTTCAGCCGGTAAATTAATGGAACAGTTACAAGTTTGTATATAGAAAATTCTAGAATTGTATTTTATTTTTCTCTTGAATGCATCTATTAATTTGCCGATATAATATAGTGGGATAAAGGTCGAATTATTACTATGGGATGGACTGATACAGAACAGTTAATTGTAGTCTTGGAAGATGGTACAATTAGGCTCTACGATATTCATGGTGAATATACACAGTTTTCTCTCGGAAAAGTGAGTATTTAGTATGAATTTCGTGCTTTTAATAACCAAGTATTGTGTTGATTCAAAAAAACCTCATGAATAGGAGGCAAACGATCATTCTGTCATAGATTGTCAAATATGGGGAACTGGTTTAGTTGCGTTGACCGGAAATTTTAAGCTGATATCTCTTGCAAATTTTGAGGAGCCAAGACCACGTTTAATGGCTGATCCTGGTATTATTCGATTTTTTACTTATATACAGACGGTATTACTATTTCATTATTAACTATTTTTCATTAAAGAACTAAACGAGCCTCCCCATAGCTGGACGGTAATTCCTCCCCAGTACACTTTAAGTCGTCACGTAGAAGTACTGTTGGCGACTGGCTCAACTATTTTAACTGTAGATGCCAAAGAATCACAAGATCAGGTGAGCATTCAATAGTTTCTTATAGTCTTATGTTAGTAATGCGACAAAACATCATATTCTTTGGCTTTCTTTGAAAAGTTGCTACAACAAGGACCGTTCACTAAAATGGCTGTATCACCTAATGGGAAGTTTCTTGCGTTATTCACAACTGATGGGAAACTATGGGTAGTTTCAACGGATTTTCAAAAAAATCTCTCAGAATTTGCTACTAAATCCAAAGTTCCTCCTCAACAGCTAGTGTGGTATATATATATTTTTATATTGAGAATTTCTGTCTGTTTGTCATGATTCTTATTTCACTGGAAACTAACTTGCTTATTCCGGTCAGGTGTGGAACTGATTCTGTGGTAATGTATTGGGACAAGATAGTGTTGATGGTTGGCCCATTTGGCGATTGGATAAAACATACCTACGACGATGCCATTTACTTGGTCCCTGAAGTTGATGGCGTGCGTGTTATAAGTAGTGACAAATGCGAGTTTCTGCAGAAGGTTCCCAGTGCGTAAGACATGTACCGGTTTAGTCAGTGATCCTTTAGAAATTCTTGTCAATTCAGCTAAATCGAACTGACAAGTCCGCATCTTTGCTATATACAGACGTAACTGAGGATATCTTCAAAATTGGCTCGACAACTCCAGGGGCAATGTTATTCGATGCTCTTGATCATTTTGAAGTAAGTTGTCTGTGCGTCTATGATAAATACGTACTCCATAATGGTTGTCATTTTCACGGATTGAAAAAAGTACAATTCATAATATTAATCCTTAGAAAAGAAGCCCAAAGGCCGACGAAAATATTCGAAGTATTCGACCTGAACTTGCTGATGCTGTTGACGCGTGTATCGATGCTGCAGGTCATGAATTCAGTCAATTTTGGCAACGCAGTCTACTAAAAGCTGCTTCATTCGGAAAAGCATTTCTGGAATCTTATAATGCCGATCGTTTCGTAAATATGTGTCAAACTTTGAGAGTATTGAACGCTGTACGATATTATGAAATAGGGATACCTATAACGTACACACAGTAAGTCTTTTCTTTTTTCATTCATTCTTTAGAAAGTTCTCTGTGAAATTTACTAATCAAAAGACACCTTTTTTTTAAGGTATGATCGACTCACGCCTGATGTACTTATCGATCGATTAATAAATCGTCATCATCATTTGCTTGCGCTACGTATATGCGAATACTTGAAGATGCGATCTGATAGGGTCTTAATTCATTGGGCATGTGCAAAGGTAATGAATTAAAATTTTATAACTATACATTTTTTACTTTAGTGAATCTTCGCGTTAATATGGTTATAATTTTTTCCTCAGATTAAGAAGTCAAAAGATGATGAGGAGACGATTTGTCGTATGATTGTTGATAAATTGACTAATAATAATAAACCTGGACTTTCTTATGCTGAAATAGCGAAAACGGCACATAAAGTGGGACAACCTAAATTGGCTACAAGGGTTTGTGGTTTTTATAAATAGAATGAGATATGATTGAAATATTTCATTATTATATTGTAACAATATAACTGATTAAATTGAATACAGTTACTTGACTATGAACCACGTGCTGCAGATCAAGTTCCTCTTTTGATTAGTATGCAAGAAGATGAATTAGCTTTAGTAAAGGCAATAGAAAGTGGAGACACAGATTTAGGTGAATTCACATACAATTTACACTACTCAAGTATCAATATAAGTTATTATTAAACTAATCAATGGATATATCTGAATTCACAGTATACTACGTAATGCTGCACCTTAAAAGAAAGTTACTCCAGTCGGGGGAATTTTTCCGAATAATAAACAATAAACCCATGGCATGTAATTTATTGGAAGTGTTTTGCAAACAGCAAGATTTAAAATTGTTGAAGGATTTTTACTACCAAGATGATCGACACGTTGATCGTGCAAATATCATAGTTCTGGAGAGCTATGAGCAAAAGGTTAGCAATTAACTGTTTTTCAATTTGAAATTTGAACCAGTTCTTTTATGAATCAAGTTAATTTCATTAAAATTTAAATTTGAAATCGATTTTTGATTCTTTTAGTCTCTCAATGATAGGATAGATAAACTAAAAGTAGCATTAAAAATATATCAAGATGATAAGGACCATGCGTTTGAGGTAAAGGTAAGTACTTGCTTATTATTAGAATTTATCACCCCAAAAGCGCATAATTTGATTCCATAATAAAATTTATTATATTGAAGGCGCTAGACGAAAATATAAAACTACTGCACAAACAGTCGCAACTAGAAAAAGACATAGCAGGCCAGCAATTCGTCGGATTATCATTAAGTGAAACGGTACATAAATGTATTATGGCGAAGGAATCGAGTAAAGCAGATAAATTAAGATCCGAATTCAAGATTCCGGATAAACGGTAATCAGTCTGTTTTCTTAAAAAGGATTTGTTTGATGAAATGGATCAATTAATGAATGAATCATTCAATCGATGAAATATTTGGTTCGTTTGATAATTGAATTATTTGATGGAATAGATTTTGGTGGATTAAGCTCAAAGCGTTGGTAGAGATGCGAGAGTGGACGGAACTGGACAAGTTGGCGAAGTCTAAAAAGTCTCCGATTGGTTATGAGGTATTTTTATGCATTTCTTATTTTCACATTTTCGATATCTAATGAATGATAATCCTTTTCTGGGGGGAAGCCATTTGTCGAAGAATGCATCAAAGCCATGCAACACAGAGAAGCCGCCAAATACGTTCTTAAATGCGAGCCAACTGTTCGTCCCGGTTTATTTATCAAAGTTGGAGACTTTAAAGCGGCCGGTCAGGAGGCGCTTGGATTGAAAGATGTACAGTTATTAAGGTGAGCAAAATAATAAAATCATCCTTTTCAAGTTTTACCAACATTAAATATTTCAAATTTTCGCAGAGAAATCCGTAGCAAATGTACCAATCATATTATCGCTCAAGAACTGGACGCTTACATTGCACAATTACAGAATCGATAAAAAATTCTTTCTCAACCGTTACTATTTATTAGTTATTTTGAAACGTCCAGTAATTAATTATTAGTATTATTAGAAATTATGTTACATAACACTGCTATTAGTGCGTGCGCGATAGAAATATATATATATATATATAGCGAGCAAGTATCAAAGATGAACTTGTTGCAAAAAACTAAACTAAATACTCAAAATAATAATACAAATAGATATTTATTTATTCTTCCCTCTCGGTTCCCACCAACTTTTTAATGCAGTATCGAATGTATGGGGAGGAGATGTGTCGTTGATTTGTGTGGAAGATTGCCATGGTTATTGCCATTGCGAATGAGAAAACTATGGCTTCTCCGTTCCTATTAGATAAAAAACAATTAACAGATTTTTACTCTAGAATCTTACATGTATTATGCTTACTTTATTGATTTCACTATACGCTTCTTCACCATCAGTTTCCATACGGATTCAATGGATAATCGTAAACTGTACATTCCAATATCGAGTCTACGATTAGAATCTTCAGCGAAAATCCAAAGACCTCCAACAAACCCATTAAGATAGATTCTTTAATAAAAAAAGATTATTCAGATACGCAAATCTTTTTAAAGCAAAGTGAAAGGATGGTAGAATCAAAGTAAATACCTCGATCGTGGCATGAATTTCGCTGGCAGTATGTTTTGAAAGCCACATATCAAGCCCCACGAAGTAGCAATTGCCATTGTTATGAATGTAGCACCTTTAAAGGATAATGGCACCGAATGATTCAACCAATGCATTACGCTCTCGTAAGGCCTTTATTAGAATACCACATAAATTAAATCACATAATAATCACCAAAAACGCAAGAGACAATATTATATATAGAAACCTTTCGCGAATTTGCCGCCATCTAAGAATTATTCCTATCCCATTTATTATAGCCATGAATTTAAGCGCGGCAACGCCTTCTTTCGCGACAAATTTCGAAAAAGTCACCAGACAACTCGGTTCGTCCGGGTGTAACATTGCGCACATTGTTTTCGTGTGAGCGGGGTGCGCTATTTCCAATATCGGTTGAATAGGATTTAATTCCTTCGGGAGAGTAGGCACATCACGATGTAGCTTTGTTGAATAGAATTCTGGATAGTTTAAAGACGCGACTATGCCAATTGAATCGACGATCTCACGACCAGTTGGCCATGGTAATGATTTGGGATAGTAGCCTGGACGCGGTTGAACATATGTTGTACTACGTGAGGTAATGAACCGCTCATAGCTTTCCTGTTGATATGTAATATACAATATTATATTTTCTGAAAATACTAATTAAAGTAGATAGGAAACTTACCGAAAAAGTATCTGGGTTTACTAGATATGCATGAATAAGCTGTGCAGAACTTAGTGGAAATAGAATCCATGATCCCCACCACCACGGAGTCCTCGGGATTATTTGATTTTCGCATAACGAATGGTACAAAAATTGAAAGCTTTTGAGTAGCATATACACGGACATAGTCACGCGTTGGGCTTGATCTTTGGCGAAAAGAATTGCCGGCCCGGCACAGAATCCCGCTAATGCCGGAGGTACCGATGGTGATTGAAACAATTTTTCATAGAACTCACCAGCGGGTGGAAGTCCCATCAGTCGCAACAGTTTGTCATAGACCCGATTTGTGTGTACTCGTGTGTATGGAGGTCGAAATATAGGATCAAATACTCGTTTAAAAAATCGTAAATGAACTTTATATAGAAACACGTATGATGCCGCGACTAATCCTATTTGTCGTGAAGATGATGTAGAGATATTTCTAAATATCTTTATGAAGCTAAAATATTATTTAATCAAAATTATAAAACGCGTTAAATATCATCACAGAGTTTCGGATCAAGTATAATAAATTTATTTATTACTATTTACCTATCTCCGCGCCTTAAGTGTCCGGGTAATGACCATAATAACTCGAAAAATAGCACAAAGATGTGTACCTCCAAAAAGACTTTTAATCCACGCCTTGTGTCATCCGGTAAACATTCATCATTCAGACAAAACAGCGCTTTTAGTGGTGTTTTGTGATCATGTGGCTTTCGACTAAAAGATATACAATATGCTCGTTTAAATACGAGAAAATAAAAATATTCTTTAATTATCAACATACGTTATTACATATGTGAATTCTTCTCTGTCAGGAATCCTTATTCCCAATTTAGAAAATAGTGGTCGTAATCGCCTCGATATCTTTTCATAACCATTATTTGACAGTGTAAATGACAGCATGAATAAAGCAAGGTGATAATTTCGATTCATGATGATTAACTAATTAAATACAAAATGACATTTTGAGTATTGATTACGCAAAATTAGATAATTTATATGTAGATTATCTCTTGTGTACTGTAAGAACTAAAAGAGACAGGGATTTAAAGTAATATGAACAGCAAGCTACTTGTTAAAGTATTAGAACGAACAAACAATTTCTCGTTGAAAACAATAAGCGAAAAATTACCTTTGATATGTGAACAAAAATACAAGCAAGAGAGTATATATAGAACACGCAACAGCAGGAAATGACAGCGTATAGGTAGAAAGTGAAGGCAATAAATTTTCAAAACAGTTGATCTGAATCAAAATTATCGGTTATGTAACATTTTTAATTTTCACAATATCAACCGTCTATCTGATTTGGGTCCAATAAAGCAAGGTAGTTACACGTGATATATAATCAGATCCGGATTGCAGTCATGTGACCAAAATTGAATAGCCAATAAAAATACTAGTGTGCTTCTGGTTGACAGCAAAAATAAATGACCAATTAAAAAATTTTATTTGATTGTTGCTGACATTGATTTTTCAAGACCAACCCAACGACTCCCATTTCATCTGAAATATCAACGAAAAACATCAAATACTCACCAAGGAACCCACTGATCCGGTCGCGACGAAACGACTTACTCAGAGGAAGTGACAAATATTAGCTAATATTCTTGGGGATGGCCAAATTTCAGGTATTAATATAATCTCATGTGCATGTGTTAAATGAAATCTCAGGAGGAGGGGTCCCTATAAAAAAATGTATATTTGTCACTTCCCTAACCTAACCAACACCGGCGGTCTCGGAAAAATGCCAAGAAACTTTGGACGCTTATATTTCTCCCAATATCCAACCAATTTTTGTGGCCCGAATATAAATAATGTTCGTCTTGATTAGGCACCCGAGTTCGCAAAATTCTGAACACAGATCGGCGAGATATCGTTGCCTCACGATCCGTCCATCCGATCTTGTTGATCTAAACGCAAAAATATTCACCTTAATTATATGACTATAGATAAAGATCTGATCATGTGCCATACAGACCCGGTGCGAGACCAAACCGGAAACCAGTCGAAATTTGCGACTGCACCAACGAAATGAAGAAGCTAGAAGAGAAACGCCAAATACTTACATTCAGGAAACTCGGTACGAAACCAAACTGGAAATCGGTCGCGTAAGTTGTTAGTTGTTTGGAGTGAGTTTAGCCGCCATTTTCGTTTCGCTGGTGTTGCGAATTTCTCCAGGTCGTGATCAGTTTCCAATTTGATTTCATGACGGTGTTGTTAGTAAGTATTCGGCGCTTCTTTCGTTGGTGAGGGTCCCAGCCTGAGCCAAAAAGTTGATAGCGATGCAGATCATTGAATGTGTTATAGGTCATGTGTATTAAGTCAATCCGGATAATTATAAGATTATCCGAGTTGACTTCACACCTTGCTTTAGAAAAGTCAAATTGCTACTATAATAAGTAACCCTTTTTAAAATACCGCTATAAACAAGTTTTATTAATGGCTTGTGAGATAAAATTTATCTCCAAAATCAGCAATCTTCCTGGGACTATAGGTCCTGGGATGGTCCCAAATTCTACATTTTAAGATTATCTCAAACTATTAATTTTCGTGGGACTGTTTGGACCATTTGGGACCGGTTAACAACTCTAACCGCCAGTGCCAATAAAACCGAGCAACTAAACAAACAAACAAAAGATTAAATAGTCCTCTCGTACCTTTACCTTACTCTAAAATCACTTATTTTTAACTGTATTTGTCTATACCACCACCAGTACCCATAAAATCATTCTTATTTTTATCATTGTTAATCACCACGCTCCGACAAATTCCATCAGCAATTCTAAACACGAAACCAGCTGTGACCCAGATTCCACCCACGATTCCACACAATCTCACCAGAAATTGTGAGAAACGTGTATTTCTCTGTTATTCGTACCGATATTGGTTCAATGTCGTATTTGAAAAAAATTCCTATTATAAATTTATATGATTAATTTTTAGTTCTTTTGGTAAATCGAATAAGCAATAACAATAAAAATGCATTACCCGGAATTCCTTGCCCTTTCTCAGCATCAGGTATACGCGAGTAATCCGTCACCGAATATTGATGGTATATAAGATTCGATTGTTTTTGTCGATGTATGTGGTTGGTACCTGATGTAAAATTTAACAATAGAAATAGAAAATAGATATATCGAATAATATTTTACTTACCACTGACAATGTAATACGAAAAAATTTCCTAATCTAACAAAGATTTTTTTACAAATTGAGAAAACAAGTAATATCTAATATAAGCTTAACAAAAAGTATACATACTTACGTGCTTCAGAAATTTCTATAC